TTGCATGTGTGGCAACTTAGTCTCCAGTTCGTTAGCTTAGTGGCTGATGACTGGACAGAGATTTCCCTAAATGCCTGGGCCAGTCCATCTCCCAGGCTTTGCTGTGGGACTCTCTGTGGGTTTTGGGGCACGTTTTCAATACCCAGCCAGGCAGTTGACCGTGCTGCCTTACCCCACACTTCCTGCTCGTACAGAGCCTCTGTGCTAGTCAAAGGTACAAGTGTAGGGCCTTTTCAGGTCTTTCCTAAACATGTGCCTAGCCCTAGGAATTTGGGTGGCCTTCTAGATTCCCAAGAGTATTAGAGTTTTTCAGAGCTCCCTGCAGACATCTCATCTCAGATTTTCCTAAGTTTTTTGGTTAGTCTCTTGTTTGCCTATTATCCAGCACCTCAGGCAACTGCAAAATTCACTAATTGCCTATAATTGTTTTCAACAATCACCCCTGGGGATAAAACTTTCATACTGGATAAGCTCTGAATCAATTCAAATACAGACAACCTTGAAAATGGGGTCCTCCAGGAAACCACTAAGTCAGCCAAATAATGACAATTTTCTGGAAATGCTGCTTTGAAAGAGGACCAACCCTGTTTTGTTCTATCCAGCAACTGACAGGCTATTGGATTTCACTATGAATGTGGGCTGTTAATTTTCAAGGCTACTACAAAGCTAGAGAGTGAGGATGGGTCTCTGGCAAGTCAAACACCTCATAGCTTGGTGAGGATGTGGAGAAACTGGAACCCTTGTGCACTGTTGGTGGGAGTGTAAAATGCTGCAGCCACTGTGGAAAGCAGTGTTCCTCAGCAAGTTAAAACAATCACCCCATGATCCAACTATTCCGCTGCGGGGTGCACACCCAGAAGAATTGGAACCAGGGTCTGAAAGAGACATCTGTACACTTATGTTCACAGCAGCATTATTCACAAGAGCTAAAATGTGGAAGTGACCCAAGTGTCCACTGATGGATAAATTGATAAGCAACATGTGATATAGATATAGATACATACATAATGCAATATTATTCAGCCTTAAAAAGGACATAAATTCTTCAATATGCTACCATATGGATGAACCTTGAGAACATTATGCTCAGTGAAGTAAGCCAGTCACAAAAAGATAAACACTGTGTGACTCCACTTATATGAGGTCCCTAGGTGAGTCGAATTCATAGACAAAAAGTAGGTGGTGTTTGCCGGGGGCTGGGGGTGGAGGTGGGAGTGAGTGTTTAACAGGTGCAGATTCACAAGATGAAACAAATTATTTGCATGTATGGTGGTGACGGTTGCATGGTGTGAGTGTATTTACCACCACTCAACTGTGCACCTAGAGTGGATAAGATGGTAAAAATCAACAAAGAAAACACTTCATATCTTGCTGTACTTAACCAAGATTCAGCCCATTTTCTTAACTACAACAGAAAAAAAAATACTCTCCAAAGACTGCTGTAAGCCTTTGGCTCATTCCCAGAGGACTTAAAAAGTTAGTTCTGACCATTTATGCTTGTTCTCTCAGTATTTTATGAAGGAAAGCATTTTCAGAGGTCCATCCTTTGCCATTTTGCTGCCTGGCATCTTAATCCGGATGAAGACAACATGGCAAGTCCTACCGGACAGTCAGCCCTCTGTTCACGAGCAGAGGCGGCGAAGCCTGTGCTCACAGCCAGAGGGTACATCTCCTCCCAGATCTGCGGCTCAGCAGCCGGCTGGCCTCCTAGGCACAGTGGGGTCACACAGACAGAGGGCGAGGCTGCCGACAAGACCCCCCCAGGGCATTAGCTCCAGGCGCAGAGAGGAGAGGGGGTGGTGCTGGGGGTGTGGGGCGGGGCCAAACCCAGGACGCAGGATTCCCTGCCTGAACCAGTCTCCACCAAGCAGTACTCAGAGAAACCTGGATCCAGAAGGAAGTTAAGTGGGGGAAGGAGCGGCAGGCACGGGGCAGCTACAGGGTTCTGAGCTCGTGGGGCCAGCGGCTCCTCAGCCCAGCCCTGTGTGCAGCTTTGGAAATCATTTCTGGGAATAGCCCAGAGACTTTCTCTAGCCTCCTGACAACTCTGAGCTGCTTTACACTCTGTGGTAGACCCTGTCTGCAAACACTGGTCAGACTCTCCCTGCAGGAGCCCCATCTGAAAATAAAGCCATGGCGTGACAGGGCACGGCTAAGTGTGGCCAGGGCTCCCCTGGCCCGTGGTTAGGAGGCGTTTTTACCTGTAGGGCAGGGAGAAGTGTGTGGGAAGGGTTCATTAGGTGGTGTAGCTGCCAATGCAAAGGCCCTGGGGCGGAACAAGCTGGCCGTGTCCTGGGACAGTGGGCAGGAGAGCAGGCAAGGGGCATGCCCGTGGACTGTTTGCCCATTGCTAGCAAGATTCAGCCCTCAGGGACAGAGGCTGCCGTTGGAAAATGTGTGTGTGCAGTCTGTGGTGTCTGGCGGGAACGAGGCCCTGGGTCAACGTCTGGTGAGAGGACCAGCGAGCAGACAGATGTGCCTGTGTGGTGGGCAGGCCCCCCTAGGGAACCACACAACAGCGCCTGGGTCTGGGTGCTCTGGAGGAGACAGCATGCCCCCCTGGGGCTCCCAGCCTGGGCCAGTGTGGGCCTGTGCCACGCCCGGGAGGGGCCTGAAAGAGCCCTTGTTGTGCCAGCCTCAGGCCCCTCCCCCAGACTCTAAGTGGAATGCTGTGAAGCCTTCCCTGTCCAGCTGGAAGCCCAGCACCCCTCAGGGGGCATCCTGGGCTCTGCCCCCGAGGCAGGGCCACAGTGTGGGGAACAGGTAAGGCGACACAGAGCACCCAGCTGGAAAGAGATTTCACTACTGCCCAGGGTCCACCATTAGCGACACATCTGGAATGAAGACCCCTGTGAATCTGCAAACAGCCTGGAAAGTTGTGCCCATCGATTGTCCATTGTGCACTTTGCTCATCCGAGCTGCAGCAGTCCATGAGGTTGGGGGTCAGGGCACAAGGGGTGCCCCTGTAGCCTTTGAGAGTTGGGGGAGGGGGCAGACAGACCTGGTGAACTGCATTCAGACAGGACTTCTCTGCAACTGGGGCAAGTAGGGGTGGGCTGCAGACAGGGAGCATGGGGGTGCAGATGCAGAGTGGGGGGGCAGACAGGAGTGTAGTGGGTGCAGAGGCCTGGCCTGCAGCCACAGCCTGAGCCTTGTTCCCCTGAAAGCCCCTCAAGGGTGACGGACCAGAAGTGACTCCCCAGGAAGGGGCCTTGTTACTGGCTCAGCCGACTAACCGAGCACCCACTCATCAGCTGAAGCTGCCTACAGATGTCCCTGCCCTTGCCACTCCACCCAGCCTTAGGGAGCAGGGCTTTTGTCTGTTGGGGTCACTTCTGTGTTCCCAACCCTGAGCCCCAGGAAGCATCTGACATGTGCTAATGAGTGGATGAACTTAGAGTTGAGGGTGGAGACATACAGAGGAACCCCTCTGTTTGTGGGGTCACCTTACAAAGTGTTTCTCAAGTGCTACCCCACTTGGTCCTCTGTGGGAGGCAAGATACAGTGTCCTGGTTTGCAGAAGAGGAGTCTGAGGGACAGAGTGGTTTACTCAGAGGTCAGCTGACTCCCTGCTGGCCAGGCTCCGCTGCTGAGCCCCGCCCACACCCATCCCAGGCCTCCCTTCCTCCCGTCCCCGTGCCACTGTGTCCCAGGAACAGTGCTGAGAGAGGAACTCTCAGGTGCTGTTGTGGGGCACTGTGCCTTCAGAGGAAGCTCCTCCCCAGGGAGCCCCAGGCAGGTAGCGAGGGAGGGCTCCAGGCCTCCATCCCTCTGGCCTCTCGGCCCCCAGGCACCCCCTCATCGCAAGGCCTTTCCACGTGGGTGCAGGATCCTGGGAGAGGGGCCTCCTGCAAGTTAGGGTGAGCCCTGAGGACACCTCTGGCCACTGGGGAGCAGGCGAGACCTGGACTGGTCCTGAGTCCAGGGATCCCAGGCCTGGTTCCTGCTTTCTCTCCTCAGACCCCGTCAGCCACTTCAGGAACAAAACTGAGACGCCCGTCGGCCCCTCTCGGGAGCGCGTGTGTCCCTGCAGAGGCTGCCTGCCGCCCACCCTACCTGCAAGCCAAAGGCAGTGCTTCCTTCCCTGACAGCAGCCCGCCCGGCCAGGGATGCCCCGTGGGGTCCTGAGGGCCAGAGAAAGTTCTGCACAAACGTGAACCAGGCCACTTTTCTCATGAAAGTTTTCTTTTTGTAAAATCTAATTGTTTTTCATAAAACATTATGCTATTTTTGTTAACATGTAATAGGTTTATTTTTGTTACTTTTAAGGGAACGTTGTTATGATTTCCAATGTGGCAAATATCCCTTGGGGTTCTCAGTGACCGTCAGGAGTGCAGGGGGCCTGAGACCAAGTGCTTGAGGACCACAGTCAGAACGTCTTTACGCTGAGGACCTGTGCCCAAATGGGTGCTCACCACTAACCAAGCAACATCATTTGTTTTTGTTTGCATTCTATTCTTGATTCTATTTATTTTCTCTTCTTTTTTGAATATGTGAAACATTCACATGGTTCCAAAATCCAGGCTGAGTTGCCCCCTGGGCCGTGCAGCGGTGACCTTCAGGATCTGCTAGTCTTGCCCTTCGGGCTGGCCAGGGGTCCTCGGAGGTCCCTCCACAATGTAAAGTGGGCCGGGGCCCCAGGGAAGCCTTTGGCCTCGGGGAGGGCATGGCCTGGGGCAGGGCGGCGACCCTGAGCGTTCCACCTGCGGGGCTCTGACTCCCCCGGGGGCCAGCATCAGACGGCGGCCAGCAGGGCGGGCCGCTCGGCTGCCCTGTTGCCGGGAAGGAGGTGGCTGTGTTTGCCGACACCCAGAGCCCCAGGGTCAGGGCGCCCGTTTCCCCAGCCATCTCCCGCACTTGGGCCTGTGTCCGACCCAAGGTGCCCTCAGGCCCCACCTGCCCAGAGGGTGCCCCTGCCCAGTTCTGCTGGCAGCCTCGCGGCAGCACCACCTCCGGGGAGACTAGGAGGAGCCTGACGGGAGAGGGGAGAAGGGAAAGGGGGAGGGGAGGCGGGCGAGAGAGACAGAGAAGGGTGCGGCCGGAGCGGAGCGTGACCTCAGTGCCGGGGAGCTTCTGCTCGGCGCCAGAGGGCGGGCCGCTCGGGCGCTCGGTCCCTTCCCTCCCTGCCGCGCCCGTCCACCGCTCTCCGGCGGCCGCGGTGGGAGAGCCGGGGCCTCATTGGCCCGCCGGCCCGACCTTGGCCTAAATCAGAGCGCTGGGCTTTTGCTCGGGCCATCTGCCCGCAGCCCGGCCGCACGCCCTGCGGCCGCTCCCGCCGGGTGAGTACCGCGTGCGTCTCTCCCCCAGACCGGCCCGGGCCCCCTGGCGAAGAGCCGCAGCGCCGCGAGAGGGAGGCCCGTCCGGCGTCCAGCCCCGGGCCAGCGCCCACCAGGTTCGGAGCTCCCGCGCACCGTCCGGGGACGCCGCACGGCGTCGCTGCCCCGGGCGGAGCCGCCGTGTCGGTGGCCGAAGGTGCTGGGCGCCCGGCGTTCCCGCAGCTGCGACCCGACAGCCCCGAGGGCCAGCGCCCGGGGCCGCCCTCGGGGTCCCCGCCGGGCGTCGGCCACAGCGGTGCCAGCCCGGGGCCCTCTCCGTCCCCTCGCAGGTGATGGGAGCCGCGGGCCTGGCCGCTGCTCGGGGCGGCGCCCCCTGGGCTCTCCTCCTGGCCGCACTGGGCGCCGCGGCGGCTCAGCCGGGAGGCGAGGAGTCCATCTGCACCGCCGGGCCGCTGGCTCGGTACCGCGTCACCTTCACGGGCAAGTGGAGCCAGCCGGCCTTCCCGAAGCAGTACCCCCTGTTCCGGCCGCCCGCGCAGTGGTCCTCCCTGCTGGGTAAGCGCGGCCCGCACCCCCGCGCGCACCGGCCTCTCGCTGGGGGACGCTCCCCACTCAGGCCTGGGCTGGGGGCGCGGCGCGTGCAGGGCTCTTGCCCGGCGCGCGGCGGCTCACGCGGCGGCCGCGCCCACAGGGGCCGCGCACAGCCCCGACTACAGCCTGTGGAGGAAGAACCGGCGCGCCAGCAACGGGCTGCGGGACTTCGCGGAGCGCGGCGAGGCCTGGGCCCTGATGAGGGAGATGGAGCTGGCGGGGGAGCGGCTGCAGAGCGTGCACGCCGTGTTCTCCGCGCCCGCCGTGCCCAGCGGCACGGGGCAGACGGCCGCGGAGCTCGAGGCGCACGCCCGGCACTCGCTGGTGAGCGGCCGGGCGGCCCGGGAGGGGGCGGGCGGGCGGGCGCCGCGCTGACGCGCCGCGCCCCAGGTGTCCTTCGTGGTCCGCATCGTTCCCAGCCCCGACTGGTTCGTGGGCGTCGACAGCCTGGACCTGTGTGACGGCGACCGCTGGCGGGAGCAGGTGGCCCTGGATCTTCACCCCCACGACGCCGGCACAGACAGCGGCTTCACCTTCTCCTCCCCCAACTTCGCGACCATCCCGCAGGGCACGGTGACCGAGGTGAGGGCCCCGCGGACGCGCGGGCTCCCGGGGGCCTGGGGCCACACCTTCCAGTCGGAGCGCCCGTGCCGGTTCTGCCGGACGGGAGAGACCCTCCGGAGGGAGAGGGCAGTGGGTGCGCCTGGCTGAGGCGGGCCCTTTGCGGCTGCTTCCCAGGCCTGAGCCCCGGGCACGCAGCTGGGGTCAGCGATCCACGCCGACTGGGCCCGGGAGCGGCCTTCCGGTTCTGCCCTGTGCCGACCCCTCTGTGCCCCGCAGATAACGTCCTCCTCTCCCAGCCACCCGGCCAACTCCTTCTACTACCCACGGTTGAAGTCCCTGCCTCCTATCGCCAGAGTGACCCTGGTGCGGCTCCCGCACAGCCCCAGGGGCTTTGTCCCGCCTGCCCCGGGCCTGGCAGGCTGGGACAACGAGGCCACGGACAGCCTCTCAGGTGAGCCCGGCTCCCACATCACCGAGGGCCTCCCGTTCCCTGCCCTTGACACACAGCCTGGGTGCCTGGGGCCCTGCTCCTGGGAGCCCCCATACCCACCACCACCACACAGGCAGAGGTACCGCTCAGCATGTGTCGCAGGAGGACCCATTCAGACCTCTGCCATGGCAGGCAGTCGCCCACACAGAGTGCCTGTGCCCAACCTTATCCCTCGGCCTTAGAATGATGCTCAAAAGTGGGCACCCACCTGCAGATGCAGAAAATGACAGAGGCCAGAAAATGCCCAAAAGGCAATGCCTGTGACGGGGCAGTCACAGCACTGGGCATCTGCCACTTTCCCAGAGGCCACGCCCATTGCCCACTCGCAAACCCATGAAGGGCGATGGGCTGTGCCATCCTGCCAGGCCTGTCTGCCCCACGTGGCACCTCCAGAGCATCCCAGAGCAAGCTGGGGTCGCAGAGCTGGGGGGTGGGGCCCACCTCCAAACCACCATGGGTGTGGTGCCCACAGCAAGCTGGGCCAGGCCACCAGGGCTGCCAGGGACCACGGGGTGTGAAGGACCTGAACCAGGGAGACCCCTGCTGGTGACGCTCAGGACACCATGCTTCCTGGGTGGAGAGACCCTGATGTGTGACCTCAAAAGGGCCCAACACGCTGGGTGTGGCGCCGGCGAGTTCTGAGATCTGGAACTTGGTTGATTCAAACTCCAAACTAAAGACTTAGTTCTTGCACAACATTTGCAACTAAAAGCCTTTTATGCCTGTACCTAAGGGAGCCTCATCCCTCGTCTGGCCCATGTCCCAGCTGGCAGGGAAGAACACATCACTAAGTGCGTCCTGGCAGGGTTGGTGAGGAGGTAGCAAAGGTGGCCCCACCTGCGGGAGAGGGTCTCTGCACATGGGTGCTGGGCAGCCTGTGGCCTGCTGTCAGTAATGAACAGGGAGCAGGCAGTGGCAACCCTGTCAGCCTGGGCCCCATCTCAGAGCATGTTCACTGCAGGCCTTCACTGCCCCTTGGGCACCAACCCCAAGCCCAGGGCCTCAGGCTGGTGGGAGGGTCTTGTGTGGGGAGCCACATGCTCCCAGCCACGTGTTAACTCTGCTCTGCATGGTGGTCGGGGAGACTGTGTCACCTCGCTGCTATAAACAGGACCCATAACCCAGGGCTCCTTCTCCACTCCTGACGAGACATGGTCCCGCTGGTGGGGGACCTCCCGCCAGCAGCACCTCCCCACACGAGTGCTTACATCTCTCCTGTGCCTGGTCCAGTTCCAGAAACGCCTCTGGACTGCGAGGTGTCCCTGTGGTCATCCTGGGGGCTGTGTGGGGGTCCCTGCGGCAAGCTGGGAGCCAAGAACAGGACTCGCTACATCCGCGTGCAGCCGGCCAACCACGGGGTGCCCTGCCCTGAGCTCCAGGAGGAGGCGGAGTGTGTCCCTGACAGCTGTGTCTGAGCCCTCGCCGCCAGGCCTTTCCGGTTGCTGGGGTCAGGGCCACAGCCAAGCGGGGATCGCCTCACCTGCCTGTGCTCGGCCGCGGACAGGCCCCGGCAGACGCGCTGGCGGTCAGGACACATGGGAGGCGCCTCCTGTGCGGACTTTCCTCCCAGACACCTGTCTGGAGTGTGCACCCCTGACTCAGCTCAGGGGCCTCTGCTGCCATGCCCTGGCTGGTCACTGCCACGCGGGAGGCTGTCTTCCCTGCAGGGGGCCTGTACCCAGTGCCCCTCGGACGCTGCAGAACCACACACCCAGGCACAGGATCCCACACCCCACGTGGCTGTGAAGCGCCTTGGACCTGGTCGTCCACACAGCTGCTGGCACACAGCCCACCGCCAGCCCTGCTCCTCAGAGAGGCTGCCACCGGGCAGGAGACCTGTGGGAGCTAAGCGGGGCAGGCGCCAATGCCTCACTGTGGCCTTGCCCTTTTACTGGTGTCTCTGCACTTGAATAAAGACTAGTTGTTCCTGACACCATGGCACCGTCTCATTTCCTGGAGGGGCGGCGGTATGGGCCAAGCCCCAGCCTTCAGGGAGCGGCACACTGCGGGCATTAGGGCTGAAGGCGGCCAGATGCAGCGTGAAGGCCCAGAGCACCACAGCCCAGAGGAGCAGCCCCCATAGGGTGCCCTGGGCGGTGGCCACCCCTGGTGCCAGTCCACCCAGGCTCCGCCTCGCTGATGAGCCTGGGAGCCCACTGCTCATCTGCTCTGGCCCCATCCCTCCCGCCAGCACCAGTCCTTCTGCTGGTTCTCAGGTGGCAGGGGGCGGGAGGGCCTGCTTCCTGCTCCTGGGACACTTCCAGACCAACCTTCCCCCTGCTTGGACCTGTAAGTCAGACCCCAAGCCATGGGCCTGCCCCCTGGCTCCGCCCCTGGCCCCCAGTACCCGTCCCCAGGATCTGCTCCCATCCTCTGCCCCACAGCACCCCACCCCTCTCCCGGTGCCCCACCTACCTTGCCTCCCTCCCTCCCACCTGCTGCACTGCTCGGATCCTCACCCTGAGCCCAGCCTTGCTGACTGGGCCTCCGCTGCGCACCACAGATGACCCAGCCAGCTCGGTCAGGACGCCCAGTGCCCTCTGCATCCGCGTGCACCCACTGGGTCATTCCATGGCTTGGAACCCCCATTCAACACACTGAGTTCCTTTGGCCCCTGGGAACCCCCTGGTCCCCCCCTGGCTGGGTGATACCCCTCCATCCGCTTTGATGGTAACCCTCTCCTCCCTGACAGCCCTCCCTGCAGGCTTAGTGTCAGGCCCTTCTATCCTCTACTGAGGCTCACTTCCTGGGGTCATTCCTCCCAGGGGTCACCATGAACCCTTACCTTGGGGAGAAAGGAGTGAAAGTAGCTGCCTGTGACCCATTTCTCCCGCAGTGGGGTACTGGGGTTGAAGGCCTAGCTAAGGCATTGGACACATGCGATTCCTGCATGTCCTGTTGAACAGAGGGCACTGTTTGCTAAGAGGAGGGACTTGTCTGGAGAGAGTTCCAGCACACGCTGTCTGGATTTATGAGCATTTAACCTTGGGCACTGCTTGGATATACTTCTTGACCCAGCATTCCCCACGAGGCACCAGCCTGCACACCCCCCTGAAGCTAAAAAGGGGCCTGGCCTCCAGGCGGCTGCACCTGAGCCCTGTGCTCAGCTCCCTGTGTTTTCCTGAATCGCCACACTAGGTGACATTTCTTGCCAGCAGAGATCTGCCTGCTCACAGCCCCCACCCAGCCCTGTAAGGCCCAGTGAGCGGCTTTGGGGTGAAGGACATGTACCTGGCGCAGTCAGCACAACACAGCCAGGGTGCACAGCAGAGATGGCGACGCTTGCTGAATGAATAAGGGACTTAATTCACTTCATAATTTTTCCAGAAGTCCCAAATAGCAGACAAATGAGATGCCTTTTTTTTCTTTTGGTATCATTAATGTACAATCACATGAGCAACATTGTGGTTACTACATTTCCCCTTATCAAGTCACTCCCACATGCCCCATTACAGTCACTGTCCATCAGCGTAGTAACATGCTATAGAGTCACTACTTGTCTTCTCTGTGTTGCGCAGCCCTCCCCATGCCCCCCCCCGCACTATACATGCTAATCGTACGGCCCCCTTTCTTTTTCCCCGCCCTTATCCCTCCCTTCCCACCCATCGTCCCCAGTCCCTTTCCCTTTGGTAACTGTTAGTCCATTCTTGGGTTCTGTGCTTCTGCTGCTGTTTTGTTCCTTCATTTTTCTTTTGTTCTTATACTCCGCATAAGAGTGAAATCATTTGGTACTTGTCTTCCTCCGCCTGGCTTATTTCACTGAGC